CTGTACCGTAGAGTGGCCCTAACTAGAAAAACTAGAACCAAATTCCTACAGGAAATCACAACCAACACTGAGAATTGAAGCATTTTTACTGCTCCAAAAAGTGATGACATAGGTACTGTAAAAAAACACTCATTGTAAAATCATTACATTCATCTCTCAGCCCAGAATCTAAAATTAACTATAAATGGAAAATGGTTATAATGACTCTTAAGTATTTGTGTATAATGTTCGGATGATATAAATTCGAAAGATTTAAAATAAATATTTTTCTTAGGGCCCGTTTTACAATCATAGTTTAAACCTCGGTTACGCTTGAACCACTGATTTTACCGGCCGAATTCGGTGGTTTAACCGGAGTTCAACTATTGTAATACGGGCCCATAGAATATACAAAGTTAAATACTGCAAAACCAATGGGTAACGCCATCTCGTGATAGTTTCTACACTGTATAAACGAGAGTAACCACGATGATAGAGGTCGGTGGGGACAACAAAGAACGTGCTTAGATTAAAAAGTAAAAACCACTTTCCACTAACACGTAGGTATTCTGAATGGTTGACAATAAATATTAACTCTGTGCATTTCTAATAATTATGTAGAAAAACTAAAGACTAAAATCAAACGCATTCAGTGTTCTGTAGGAAAATGGTCTTCAAGACCACAAAAACATGTTTTTTAGTTAAATTTAAATTCATTTGTACGTATTACGTAATAAAAAAATTAAACACAATAAAATATCAAAAAAAGTTTCAAAGATTACTTTTTATGTTGCTAAAGATTAAAAATGCTAATTTTATGACTGGGCACATAAAGTATCGTCTAAGGTGTAAAGATCGTCCTTAAATTAGTCTTTGATCCCCGACGAATACCTAGTTAGGTGTAGGTCCTACCTAGTTGACAGTTGTTATAAATTAATTCAAATTCTATGATTAACGTACAACTTACAGTTTATTATAAATTTTAAATATAAATTATAAGTACTTACAATCTTTGAATTCAGAAAATAATTATAGCTAGTTAGTTCGATTTCGAATCCTCTTTTCCACCGGCTTAATTTTGTTACCGTCGCATCATTATATAGGTACACCTATAATTGCATGCAAATAGCGATTTGATTTTGTTTGGTGGTTGGAGTTCAGTCAACAAACAAACCATAATTTATTTATTTGTGAACGACACAAAAAATAGCTGAGCTTATACACATATTGTTGTAAGTTTATATAAAATCGTATTATTATGAATACAAAAAAAAGTTAGTTAGTTAAAATAATTATATGTATAATTAAAAAAAGCTACCTCATTTTTATATTCATAATAAAACGATTTTATAAACACTTACAACAATTATATGTGTATAAGCTCAGCTATGTTATAAATAAAAACTAAGCTAAATTTATATTAGGATATAGAAACTTGTAAGTTGGTACTATCGAGATACTATTGAAAAAAGGTGATCTGCTGTACAGTTGGTTACAAGTGAGTCACTGTATAATGGAAGGTATTAAATTTGAATTCATTATTCAATGATATAATATCATTGTATAAGAAAAATGATTCTGAGCGGAGACGGTATGTCGTATGTCAGTATAGGTTTAAGACATATTATATACATATCTATGGTATTCAAAAAAAAATTTACCTATAACAAAATTCCAAATTAATCATATCACAATATCCATTAGGTACATTATATAACGCGTTATACATCAACAGCAAACCCTGATAATATCATACATATATAATAGTGTACTTTATAAGTTTCAAGTACCCACTAATAATATTATACAATCACAACAAAATAACTAAAATAGTTATTCTAGGTTTTTTTTTATGTAATTTCGTCCAAATTTGAACTTAAAATTACTATAGAAATAAACTGTGATTATGTATTTTTTAGATTTTTTTTGTAAAAGAATTAACTACTTTCATGGAATCTTGTTTTAAATTTTCAATCCTTAGATATAAAAGTTGAGCATTTTATACATTTTTAACTACAAATTAATTATTCAATTTTAAATTTGATAAATTTTGTCAAAATTTGATCTTTAAATGCTTATAAAAAAAAAACTGTGCATCTGTATTTTTAATGTTTTTCAACTGATATTGTAACAATATATCTGGAGCCTTGTATTAAAATTTTACACGTTTTGGCCCAACAGATAAAACTTAATTGATATTTATAGAAAAAAAAACTAAAAAAATTTAAAACTGAAAATGTCCGTAAACAGCTCAAAAAAAGTCAAAATATTTTTTCAAAATTGTATGGTGTGTAGGAAATGCTAATATAAACGTTCAGTGAAATTTTCATGTATCTACAGTTATTCGTTTTTAAATTATAACAAAAGAAGGACATCGGTAAGTACATGAGAAATCGAGTGAATATCCAATGTTTTAAAATTTGAATTTCAAACGCTCATAAAAATTTAATTTGACTTTCTTATAGACTTTTTTTTTTTTTTTTGATAAAGGTAGATAATCTTATAAGGAATCTTGTATTACATTTTAAAATCTTAGATTTAAAAAGAAAAATTTTTAAGAATTCTTCACTTAAAATAATTTGCTAATTTTCGTGATTTTTTCATATTTTGCCAATTTTTAAACTTTAAATGCTTATAAAACGAAACTGTGACTAAGGATTTTTAATACTTTTTATCTGCCTTTGAAACAATATACTAGGAGCCATCTATTAAATTTTCAAATTTTTTTAACCAACAAATTAAATGTTATTGATATTTTTAGAAAAAAAACTAAACAAAAATGAAAAATGAAAATGTCCCTTTACTAAACAGTTCAAAATAAATCAAAATATTTTGTAGCGTTCAAGTTAACATTAAGGTTACACCAAAAACCAAATTCGATTTTGCGTAAAAATTCCTGTTTTTCCTTAGTTTTTCTTTTGTTTTTCTTGACGCTTTTGAAAATTACTTTGAATTTTAAATTTCGACCTCCCTAATGCACCAACGATATTCACTTTCCAATCGAACAAGATACTGAAGTTGAAAATCGAAGCATTATTTCGACTACTTATCGTATATGTGTATCGTATACACAGACACAAATAAAATAAAAAATTAAAAAACACTCATCATTGTAAAATCAATACATTCATCGTTCCACTCAGAATCTAAAATAATCTATTTTAATTTTGGTGCAAATTACAATTCCTATTTCTTACTACCTGTAGAATGTAGATGGTGCAAATTATACATGTTGGATATATTTTGGGTCAACTTTGGTGCAACTTGACTACAGCCTAATCGGTGTACCTTCAATTTTATTGTTAAACAAAAATAAAAATACAGAATATAAATCTTTAACTTTTCAGGTAATATCTAAAACCCAGTAAGCCCACCCTTAGAGTTTCACAAAATAATGAGATAATACTAATCAATAGTTTCTATAATATGTGATAGAGACTATTATAGCTGGTAATACTTGAAAATCGTTATTTCGAAATGTTGACATTTCGTTGCTGAAATTTTCGTTAACGAAGTATTTTCTTTCTGCTATAGTAAAAAAATACAACATTTAATTTATAAACAATTCATAATAAATATAATAGGTACTAATAACAACATCAAAAACTACTGAAATCGGGCGGTTCTTTATTTAATTATAATATATTAATTATACATATATATTATTCATTTAATTATTTATTTTATTAATTATATTTATACCTATTTTATCATATAATAATACAATTAGGAAGATACTTTACTATTAAATGCTACCAAATAAGTTATAATGGATTTTAAATCATTACTTTGATTAAAATAATGTTGCATATTAAAAAATAGTTTAAGCATCTTAGCTTATTTGAAGTTTAGGTAGGTACCTAGGTCATATGTATCTTTACCAAATCTAAATAATAAATAGTAAACAAATAAACAATTATTAAACAATCAATTAATAAATAAACAATCTGTCAGGATTTTAAACTTGATATAATATTCATCTTCAGAAAATTATTTTTATTGCACCTATAATAATTTTCTTATTCATTTTTAACTAGGTATAGTTGGTTACATTACTATTTACTGTCAACAATATGAAAACAAAATACAGATATTTTTATAACAACTAATAAATAATAAATACCTATATTATTATTCAGGCATAAAAAAAATAGGCAGGTACAAGACAGTGTTTAATGAGAGTCAAGAACTTGAATTGGTTGAATATGTCCAGCAAATGGAAGACTGTTTGGCCTTACAATGCTAGACTTAAGAAAACTTGCTTTCGACCTAGCAGAGAAAAATAACAGAGACCATCATTTTTGTAAAAAAACTGGAGCAGCAGGTAAACCTGCAGTTTGTTTAATTTTTATTAATTATTTTAAATAAAGTGTGTTTAATTAATTTTTAAAATGTCAAGATTGGGCAAAAGGGTTTTTGAGTCGACATCAAGACCTGTCCATCAGAGCTCCAGCGCCAACATCAGCAGCTAGAGCTATGGGCTTTAACAAGCCTTTCGTACAATGATTCTATCAATTGCTTATAAACTGTATTCAAAAGCATAACTATGGACCTGACCGCATTTATAATGTAGATGAAACCGGACTCTCTTGTTTTGCTAAAAGTCAAGGGAAAATTATAGCAAGCGAATTAAGAAAACAAGTTGGTTAACTTTCTTCTGCAGAAAGAGGGCAAAATGTAACAGTCACTATTTGTTTTTTGGCTTCTGGACATTATGTTCCACCTCTCTTAATTTTTCTAAGAAAACGGCTTATACTTTCGTTTTTAGATGGGACACCTCCTTCCACTAATGGCGTAGCCATCTGGATGGATGCAATCTGAGATTTTTGTAGAATGAATGCATCATTTCATCAAGCACACTAATCCAACAATTTCCAATCCTGTACTACTTCTTTTAGATGGCCCATACAACACATGTACAAAATATTCCTGTATTTGACATTCCAAAGAAACACCATATCACATTATTATGTTTTTCACCTCACACAACACATAAACTGCAACCTCTCGATATAAGCTTCATGAGGCCTCTTAGTACCTATTATAGCCAGGAAGTTAATTTATACTTAGTTAACCACCCAGGACGTGTTATAACTATTCATGATATAGGAAAGATTTTTGGTTTATCTTATAATATATCAGCAACAATCAGTAATGCTGTTTCAGGATTTAAGAAAGCTGGTATAGTCCCTTATAACCTAAATATTTTTTCTGATTTTGATTTTATGGCAGCTTCTATTACAGAAACTCCATATTTACCTTATATATCTAATACAGTTAACCAAATTATAACTGGAGAAATAACATTATTACCTAATACTACCATACAGTTAACCAATCTATGAATAATGAGACTTCATGGTCTCCTGATACTTATAATATAATTGATGAACCAATTAATAATGTAGGTATCTCCATTGTCACCTGCTACAATTGTTGCTTCAATTGACCAATTTTTCAAAATCGACTACTAGTTTTTCAGTTTCTCCCAAGGATATTTTAAGGATTCCTCATGCCACCAGAAACTAAATGTATACGTAATACAAGGAGAGGAAAAACTGCAGTTATTACAGACATTCCTTACAAAAAAGATTTGGAAAGTACAATTGTAATAAAAACTAAGAAAAGCAATGATTCAAAAAAGAAAACAGCTAGAAAACTTTTTGGTAAGCCTCAGAAGAACAAAATAAAATATAATTCAAGTTAGTTAGTTAACGCTCAATAGTCATGACGTCCGGATCTACAATAAATGCTTAGTGATTACTTAATTGTGTTTACTTTTCTTTTATAATATAAGTAGTTAATATTCAGATTGGGACAAGGACATAAGAAGGATACAGTTTGCCATTAATAATGCATTTAACAAATCAACACAATCAAGTCCATTATTTGCATTAATGTTTGGATTCACACCAAGAACATATGATGGTGACCCAATACAAAATGAAATACAAGCAATTTCAAACAGTACTTGTGATATTACCAAACTAAGAGCTCGAGCCTTAGAATCAATAGTTGTTGAGAAAAAGAAAATACAGAATATTATAGTAACAAAAATAGATCTAGAACACCTTCTTATATCACAGGTGACCTAGTAATGATCAGATACTTGGACAGCCAGGTGAATCCAAAAAGATGATGGCAAAGTACAAGGGTCCCTATGTGATAATTTAAGTCCTACGAAATGATCTTTTCAGAGTGCATGATTTACTTGTAATTCAAAGAACACAAACATTTTATGAAGGTGTGGTGGCCATTGACCAGATGAAACTATACAAATCCTGGATGTGACTCAAGTGATGAAGGAAGTGACAACAGCCAAGCAGAAGAGACAGTTGATCATAATAAAGCTGATCAACAACTCATTAGGAACCAAAAAAAAATTGAAGATTATATATAATTTTATTTAATAATATTTTTAATGCACTGATTAGATATTTTACAAGATGTAAACTCAAATTATATAAAGTACATACATTCTATGATAATGTGACAATTAATTATTAGTTATAAGTTAAAATTATTATTTTTAATTGTGTTTTGATTTATTGTTACTACAAGTTTTTTTTAAAAAAAGTGTATGTCTCGTGTGGACATGAGAACTAAGGATGGCCGAATGTAAACATAGAAAATAGTGGGGGGCAAGGAGCCTTGTTGCTTGACAGTTAGTTGATATTATGTTAGTTAACGCACAATAGTCATGACATGTGGACCTACAATAAATGCTCAGTCATTACTTAATTGTTTTCTTTTATTTTATTATGTAAGTAGTTATAATACCTATGACAATTCCCACTAAACCTATTTTCCCTGGAGAAATTATTAGTAGGTATCATCAAAAACTACCAATTGGTAAAACATCAGGATATGATCTCATTACTACCAAAGTGTTAAAAAAACATCTCTAAGAATGAAATACTATTATTAACATTAATTTCATCTATATGGTATGGTTATCATATTTTCCTTCTATTAGATATCTGTCATATATTTACCTAAAGTAGGTAAACCCAAAACCTAGTTACTTCATATAGAGTATAGACCCATTACCCTGTTGCCAACCATAAGCAAACTTTTTGAAAAATGTCTCCTCAAAAAAAAATTTAGGCTTATCCTAACCGAGCACAGGTTCTTATAACTAATATGCAATTTCGATAAAAACATTTGATCATACAAATCCATCGTTAAACCGTTATGATTGTCTCTGCGATCGATAATAAAAATAATACTGCATTGGTATATTTCAAGCGTTACACAAGGAATCGACAAAGTTCATGGCACAATGATCTGATTTTTAAGTTAAAATAATTCATACCAGCACAACTATATCTAATTCTCAAAGCATATTTAGAAAAACGAAAATTCAAGGTTGGACAGAAGCAGATATCCCTTAAGGTAGTCCCTAATGGACCTTTCACCTGACTATTATACAACATTTTCATCATTTATGCTGACAATACAGCTATCTTATAAACAATATACCTAATCCAATAATGACATTATAACTGCAGCACACTGCACACACCACCAAGAATATTCAAATCTCGTAGATATCTGGTCCAATAATTAGATAATTAAAATTAATGAAATTAAATCCTCTCAAGATACTTTTACAAATCGCTTTGGACATTGCACTACCATTAAACTAATAAATAAAAACATATCAGTTCTGAACAAGACCAAGTACTAACCATGGTATAATTTTAAAAATTCACCTAACTTGGAAACCTCACTTCCAAAACCAAACAAAACATGCTAATAGAAGACTCCATCTATATCTATATCTAATATATTAAGGCCACACTTTAAGTCCAAACTAAATCTCAAAACAAAATTGTTATTGTGCAATACAATAATCTTTAGAACTGTCTAGTCTCTAGTATATCCAAGGTGGATATACCAACCATATATCAATCCACCTTGGGTATATCCTAAATTCTTAAATCGTGTTGGGAGCAAAAATCCTAAACTAACTTTATTATATTATGTTCAATGACGCTACCCTATAATAATTGGATAATATCAATCCTCACTGGTCAGTCCGAGCGGTGTAATATTTTTAATCAATATAAAATATGAAGAATATAATAATTTAATAAAATATAATATTATAATAATGAAATTAATTTTAATTTTTTTTAATTAATATGTATTTGTAATATTTTTAGTCCATAAAAATGAATTTGGTATATAATAATATAGTATAATATTTTAATAATACTGAAATTTATTTTAATGTTTTAATTAATTTGTATTTGTATTTGTATTCATTTGTATTTTTAATTTGTATGTATAATTTGTAGTATTTTTAATACATTTAAATTAAGTATATAATAATTTAATGTTAAAATCCTGAAGCAGAAAGAACGACTATATGGAGAAATGAGATAAGCAGTAACTCCAGCTGGGTGCCGAACAAGTCCCATCTGGTCATAATGAAACATGCCTGGTTTGGCGAACACTAAACAGACTTAGGACCGGAATAGGACGAACGAAAGTCAATCTAATAAAATGGGGACTGCTAGATAGCACAGATACCTTCTGCATAATATGTGAAGAAGAACAGACAATGCAACACATTATCACATGTATCGCTTGCTCCCAAAACTGCACCCCAGAAGACATTCAAAAAGGCAAAAGCCAAGGAATTAACATGGCCCGCATCTGGGAAGAAACAATAAAACATTATAAATCTACCAATAACGTCCTGAACCACTCAACAGTATTACCATATTATATTAAACAATAAACATTCATAGTTTATTTCATTTTATCTATTTACTTAGTGTCCTACTATTTTTACCTTATTTTATTATTATTATGTAATGTTTATTTAAAGCTAATTTTATTTGTTTATTTTATGTTATACCACTAATATCATTATTATTATTACTGTTTTACTATGCGAATGACACAAATAAAAAAATATAATATATAATAATAATGTAATTTATTTTTTTATATTTTTAAATAATTTGTTTTTGTAATATTTTATTCAATATAAATTTATTTAGTATGTAATAATATAATATAATATTATAATAATTACGAAATTGATTTTTATTTATTAATTAATTTGTATTTGTTATATTTTTAAATTGTATGTATATTTTGTAATATTTTTAATAAATATAAATCAAGTATAATATATTAATTTAATGTACCTAATAGAGTTTTATAATAATAATGAAATTTATTTTAATTTTTTTTAATAAATTTGCATTTGAAATATTTTTAATTAATACCTATAAATGAAGTATTAAATAATATAATGTTATATTATACAGAGTGATTTTTTATCAAACAACACTCATCATTTAAAAGCATTGAAAGTGTTGTTTGATAAAAGAATCACTCTGTATAAGTATGCTAGGAGGACACATCAGTGGTACAAGCGATAACCACTTGTTCACCTTTTTTTTTAAATGAATTAGACTTTTTTGTATAAACTATTATTTTATTATCGTTTGTAGGTGTTATTCCGAATCAACACTATAATATATTTTGTAGTAGTCAATACTATTTTTTTTAGGAGTGAACACTATGTCTATGTAGATTAGTAGATTACCTAAGTTTGTAGGAGCTTACCATTCCCAGTAATTTATATGATTTCCTCTAAACAGCTATATGTACACTTTCTTATAGTTATAACTTATTAGTAACGTACTTATAGTCACCTAAGTATATAGTAGGTACTATTTGTAATGACTCGTGAACTAAGAAACAATGTCTTTATTGAGATCCCTTAGGCCTTGACTGTAATATGGGAGAAATTTAAGCTCCTAGGTACACGAATAACCTTTATACTTGAAAATAAAAGAAACTGTCTTTTCTTACATAGACATTTTTACCTAAAAAAATAGGATAATATCTTATATTCCATCATTGTATTTGAATTCACAAGCTCAAAATGCTAAAAATGATAAGTTGAAATTTATAATGAATATAAAAATATATTTGTGTAGATAAAATACAAACACTTGGTTCATGATTTATTTTAATTCTATTATTATTTAAGATTTTATTTATATAAGTAGCTGAATTATTTTTTGTATAATATGTATTAAAGTAAGTATTGCAAGACAGATATTTTTTTACTTTAGGTCCAAAATACAATGACAAATTTTTTCTACTGATTTCTTTTTTAACATTATTTTGATTTTTATACCTATATATTATCTAAGTCATTTGGTTTTTCAATATTTAATAATGAATGATCATTAAACGATTTAAGCTGGAGGTAATTATTACATTTAATATACATATAAGTATGCCATATATCAATCCACCTTGGGTATATCCACGGACTAAGATATAATGGACTGGAAACGAGCAGCTTATCAGTGGCCTCGAAAGTATGTACAAAAAGCAAATGCGGGGGGTCGTAACCATAATCCAGAGTGTACAGCGCCATCTGTATAAAACACGGACTGAGATACAAAATATGACGCTAAATAAAACCACTGGTAGCGCTGAAAACTTTCGATTATGAGTGTTGATGATAACAGAGGAACCTTTTGCGGGCCGTCCCTCGTCACCCGCCCACCTTGTCGTTTCCAGTCCATTATATCTTAGTCCGTGGGTATATCTTAAATTTTTAAATCGTGTTGGAAACAAAAATTTAAAATCCTAACCTAACTTTATTAAATTATTTCCAATGCCGCTACCCTATAATAATTGGGTAATATCAATCGATATCAATCCTCTCTGGTCCACTCTGGTCAGTTCGAGCCACGGACCACGGTACCTTTGACGTGTTCTTATCATGAACTAAGATAATATGGACTGGTAACGGTTGGGCTGGCGGATGGTAGCGGTGCGGTCAAGTTTTAATACGTGGTTTTCTAAGAGGGGGAATTTATCGGATTGGGGCGATCCTTGTGTTGTTTTTTGTAACTATCGTAGTATCGTAGGTATAATATGTATATCGTGGATTCGTGGACCGTTGTTACTTGTTTTACAAAATATTTTTAAAATTTATAGTAATTATACTTTATAGTAAATATATATTTCATATATTTCATATTCTTTATATTATGTTTCTCGTTTATTATACCTACTGGGCACTGCCTACTACAGTACTACCTAATAATTTTTATATATTAATTTTTTGCTTGTTGTCTGTTGATAGTGTAGTGTGTATTTTTTTAAACTTTCATCTATTCTATGATATAAATGTACCTACTAATATAGTATGTATATTACAGAGTCAGAGTCTATTAAATACCTATTCAATTTTTACAGCTGTGCAACTAATTCAATTCAGTTTTACCTACCAAATATTGAACATGAATATTTAACATATTGATTACAAAATAGTATTGAACTTTTATTATTAGATTGCTATTAAATTATATTTTTGGTTGGTTATCAGTTTTAACATATTTATTGTTAACTACCAAAATGTACCACATTTATTTTACCTCAGCATTAACAATTCCATGTGCAACCGTATCAAAAATTTGAGGAACTGCACCTTTCGCTTAAATCGCACATTGCTTAAAAACATAAAAAAAAATGATTCTGCAAAATTGGGTTTTGTTTATGTTGCACGTGGGCCAGAGAGAAAAAACAAAATTGCGCTGACATCCTCTTAAATTTTACCAACTATGTTTTTAAAATATTGTTTATTTTAAAATTTAATTAATATTTACTCTAATTATAATATGTACAATACCTCAACACCAGCATAAGTTTTTACTATATCTTTAGGGAGAAAATGTTTTTCACAAATAAACTTAATTTTGGTATCGCATCCATTAATTGATTTAATAATTTCTGTCCAAGAAGAAAACGATGCCTTAGGAATACTAAAAAAGCTGCATTCCCCATCAAAACTTTTGCAACTAATTATACAACACTTTCTGGACATTTTTAAAAATGAATACCTTATACTACTAACTACTAAGGGGCAAGTGTATACTAATAAGTAATAAGAACAAAATATAAGTCTTTCAAAATGTGTTTTATTATAATTTCATGACAAGTTTAATACAGTTTTTAACAAGTTATTTGCAATATTCTACATGTTCAGTCATGTTATTTGAAACTTATTTTTGTTTTTGTCCAACAGATGTCGCTTCAGCTTCACAATTTCTCCCACCACAAAAAGTCCGTATTAAAACCTGACCGCATATTTTACCGTCGTTGCCAGTCCATATTATCTTAGTTCATGGTTCTTATATCAACCGTTTCGACGACGTGTTCCGTTTTGGTTCGCCTCATTTCGCCGCAACGGCGTGGTTGCCTAACGGTCGTGATAACTCGTTAAAACCAGATAACAATAATGCTATGGTGTTTCGTCATGGTTAATGCGCAGCGTCAAAGCACCTGTTATTACCTACCTGCCACCGCAATTTCACGTGTTTCGACAACTGTTGAATGTTGAATTTTATACGTTTTGTTTCGTTCGGTCCGTTTGTGGTTTGTACTTAGTTTGCGTTTTGCCGTCGATCCCCGCTCAAAATCCACCGCCTAAGGATAGCCGAAAGCGTTGTCGTCGGTCGATTTAATTAATTTGTAGAATACCGTAAACTTGTCGGAGCCTAAGGGTCAGTACTCGTTTTCTTCAACGAGTTCAGAGCCACATCGAATTTTCGTAGACGCATACAATCATCGTTCAGCAACCGCCATTAAGTGAGTATTGATTTTATAATAATAAAGATATGTATACTGAATAGTGAATGACACAATTTATAACTAGCGTTGAGTATTTTTTCTCATTTAACTTAATTGATTTTGCATGATGAAGACTGTAATTTAATCGTTTACCGACATGGCTTCAAAAAACTCGAGCAACAACGGTAATGATGAATTTAAACTTTCGCTGTACGAATTGCAAAGGACTCCTCATGAAGTTATTACAGACGATACACAAATTGCAGTACCCCTAGAGGCTCTACACAAAGATCTGATGTGCCCGATTTGTTTGGATTTATTGAACAAAACAATGACAGCTAAATGTCTTCACAGGTAGGTGTCAATAGAGTTATATTATATTATATTATATTTATTATAAATTTGAACAATATGATTATATGAAGATAGTATTAAAAATGATTCTGTTTTATTTAGATTCTGTTCTGAATGTATTGTGACTGCACTTCGTGCCGGTAGTAAAAAATGCCCTACGTGTCGTAAAAGGTTAATATCCAAACGATGTCTGCGACCCGACCATAATGTCGATTCGCTCATATCTTTACTGTTTCCAAATCGTGAAGAATTCAATGAACATCGAAATAAAATTATAGAGAGCTTAAATCAGAGTCAAAGTCAAGATAATATGGTAAAATCCATGACTGAAGGGTTAAAAGTGCAAAAACAAAAACGTTCGTACAATACTAAAAATAAACGAAGAGCTGAGCCAACTAAAAATAGCTCATCAAATACTTTGGCACCATCAACTTCAAGACAAATTAATAATGTGACAGAACCGACAGTGCAGACAAATGGAACAAAAAAAAAGAAAATTACAGGACCTACTTCGACTGCTGTTTACTCCAATATCATTGAATGCGAAGATGCGATTAAAAGTGTGTCATTAAATGATATGGAACTGATATTTAAACCTCATCCTAAGGAAATGCATAATAACAATCAACAAGAAAATGACTTAAGCAAAACTGATCAACGTTATATAAAAGCACCATCTGTTGCTACTGGTATGCCTCTTAAATTAAATAACATAAAATAAACAAAATATATTTTTATTGTGGTACCTACTTAACACTTATAACTTTACAAAGAATTTGATATAACATCCTTTTAAATTTACTACTTTTCAGTATTTCATATTTAAAAGTTTTAGCCATACACTATACGTCAACACTGTCTTATATAGGAGTAATAATTCAGATGGCGGCGATGATGGGTGTAGCACTAGCTAATGCATACCAAGTTCCCCACTCTTGGTAGTGTAACTTTATTCAAAAAGAACAAAGTAAAATGATTTCTTCTGGATATTAAGAGTATGTCACTCCTGTATATTATGTTGTCTCCGTCTTTCACAAATACGACAGCAAAGTTTACACTCAGCAGATCAAGTTTAGCTCTGTTGGTTTAAAAATTAGAGTGAATTTACCTCTAATATAATTTAAAGGTAAGATTATTATCTAGAGCATCTCATAGATTTTTTGTTATATTTTAATTTTAAAGCAAGTTATCAATATTTTAAGATGTACAAACAATTTTAAATTTTAAAATAGTCATAACTTGCTTTAAAATTAAAATATTATAAAAATCCTTTGAGATATCTCTAGATAATAATCTTACCTTTAAATTTTATAAGAGGTCAATTCACTCTAATTTTTAAACTAACAGAGCTAATTGTGATCTTCTGACCTTCAAATTTTCTGTGTTGTACATGTGTAAGACGGAGACAACATGTGCAGGTACAAGATCCTCTTAAATTGTCCATGTTGGTAAGACAGAGATTACACTTGCGGGTATAACTTTCTCTTAACATGGTTAAGCAATTTCTCAGCTGTGGCCTATCATCAGAACTAAAAGTTGATGTAGATAAACCGATTTAAACAGCGAATGTAATCTAACCAAATCGAACAATAATGGGTTATCGCCTGAAGTTAATCTTGTAGATAAAGTTTATGATACCCTTGGAAAACAATCAATTAATGGATTAACAGTTTAAAATATAAATGTTAGGAATCAATTATAAATTGAGCAATTAACCAACAATTTTAGTTTAAGCATTGATTATAAATACTGTAGATTGCTCACTGGCCAGCTTTTCGGTGACATAAATTATTTACTCCAGTAGATGGCAAGACAACGGGACTACTAGCGGGTACAACATTATCCGTTCTTACTAAACATGCGCCCGTGATTAGAACAATCTATAGTATTTATAATTAACGGCTTATTTTAAATAATGCAACATACCTAATTTCAAAATGTTTATAATAATTATAAGTATTATTTTTTTTTTTCTAGTTGCACACTTGAGCAGATATTTAACCATGCGGTTAAATTTAGATAATGGAAAAAAACTTTTAAGCGGTCGTCAAACTGTTCTAATGTATATTCAACAAACTGCTGATCAATTTGTACTTCTCGATGACAATTTAACACTTCAAAATGTTCAAGAGAAATTTTGGAGCTTCGAGAAAGAGGGACCGTTGCAAATTTTTTACTCTTATAATTAAATTTTTATTTACATTAGTTGTAAATATAAAAGAGTTTTCTGCAAAATTATAATCTATTATATCTAGCGTAATTTTACTAAGAATTTGTTGATTGTGGTAAATTCTATCACGTTTACTATTATTCATTTTCAATTGAAAACTATTCCATTTTTATTTTTCAACTAATTATAGAATTATATTTTTAATTTTTCTCATGTACCTACCTAATCTTGCAATTGTTTTTAAATGTTAATTGTTAACATTACAATCATCATACTATTTGCAACAGTATTTAGTTTTTTTAGGTACAGGTGTCAGGTTTTATTCATAAAATAAATTTGTGATTAACTTTTTTCTTAATTTTATATGCTATAATATTTTGTTAATACCAATGATAATTAGTTTTACTATGATATATAATAATTAGTCGAAAGTGCTTATCAATATGTACCTATTATGTTTACAATTAATTTTTATTTGAAATAAAATTAGAACATAATAGTTACCTTACTAGCCTAATTGAGTAAATTTGTAATATTTTATTTTGTTTTATATTAATTGAAATATGTATTAAACAAACTAAATGTATTTCTATATGTAATCAATTTTGGTACTGTATATTTTGATAATACTTTTATACTTGTACATTACTGTGATAAAAATAATGAATTTTATCTTTATGGTGATCAAATTTCATTTATCTAAAATTTTCTTATTTACTAAACATATAAATTATATGCTATGGTTATTACCTTATCTATTAAATTTTGATTATCATAAATATATTATTTATTGGTCAAACTAGTAACACAAGTAAAGACATTATAACATTACATATTATTTTCATTTATTCACAAATATTTAAATAAATAAAATCAGTTGAAAAGAATGTTCATTATTATATTAATTAACTGTCTTACTAACTCTTATACAACTGTCTATAAATTGTCAAATGGGGAAGATGACTAATTGTATCATTAAGGTTATGTGTCTACTGTCTTACACACTCAACCTAGGTGCATAACAATATATATTTTAATTTATTTAAGGGTTTTTACCGAAGTTTATTTATCTGACTAACAATTCAAATAAAATTCTATTATTTTTCTGCCTACCAAGATTAATATTTAATAATATTCTGTTATAGGACTAATTATTAAAGAGGTTCTTGACAGATAAATTTGTCATGTTTTGTTATGCTGGTGTTTATATTTCTACTAAGTTTACCTTGGTGAGGCTCTTTTTAAAATACATTCCTATTGGCTTCTTCATGTTAAGTAAAAATGTTGTATAAATATGAATTTAATATTGTACCAAATCCTGGCATAGTACCAGTCCATCACCTGTCGTTCGTAAGGCAAAAATTAAATTTGATTTTATATATTGCTATATAAATTATAAAAATATGTTACGTAGGTACATTGTGCCTATCTAATAATCTACAAAAAAAATCCCCCTTTTCGCAACTATTCGTACTTATAGTACCTACCCATAGTTGGTTTTTACGAAATAAAGGTAGTATAGAGATAGTTTGTAAGTACCCTAATGAATTTTAATAAATTATGTAGTAATAGCCAATAGGTATTATAATATGCTGATTATAATTTAAAATATATCATCACTATATAATTAACTCTTGCAGAATTTAAAATAGGCAAGCCCTGGGCATAAACAAGTTAAAAAGTTAAGTTGATTTCAACTTTTTAAAATTTAATTTTCAACCTAACTTATTTTAATTGATATAAACTTCATAAATAACAAGTTACTTTTAATCAAATGCAAGTTAAGTTAGTTTATAAATAATTAAATAATAAATATAATAAAAATAAAAATAATTATTGATGTTGCATATTTCTTGTTATTAAATAACCATTTACTTAGAATAATGAATTAGAAATATAGTTAAATTAATTTCTTATTCCATTAACCAGAACTTTTCAAAAATAATAACTCTATTAAATATAGTATGAATACATATTGTTGCAATAGTCATTTAGGTATATATTATATTATAATATAATATATAGGTGTATCGTATATATATAAAAATTAAAGATATACCATACTACGGCATACAGGCATATTGTAATAATAATAATTAATAAATACTAATAACTAATAAGTAAGTATATTGATATAATCTTATTATGTTACAAAATATGTTATTAGATACAAATCACAAATGTACAATTTTCAAGAACATATTATAAAATATGTTTGCCATAAATAAGTTATTTATTTATTTATAAATCAAAAGATTGTATTTATTTCTGAATTTTCGATTTCGTATGCCTTTTTTACATATTACATAATTCTTTTAATTCAGTAACTAATAATTTAATTCTATGTGTAGAAAAACTATTGGCTATTTTCTGTGATCAATAATATTTATGATTTTTATTATTTTAAACCTTATTACTGGGTATTTCGTATTTATATAGATATTAAAAAAAAATAATAACTTATATTAACTTAAGTTGATAAGGTAATTGAAAATTTTCAAATACATTTTAACTTACTGAGTAAAAATAATAATTTAACTGTTAAGTTTAAACTATTGAAAATGTTTCCCATCAACTTAACTCAGTTAAAAATTATCTTTAACTTTCTCAAGTTTGAAAAAAGGTATAAAAAAGATAACAAATAGGCAAAAATGTTGGTTAAGATTTGTCAAGTAACAATATAGTAATATGTCACTTTTACACCTTTTCTAAAATTGAGATTGGTAAATTCGGTCCCAAGTAACACTTACTCGCTAAATTGAGTCCCGGGAAAAACAGGTACCTACCTAGTAGTTGAGTTGAGTACCTGGGAAAAAAAGGTAGTAGGTAACTTGGGTCCCGTGAAAGATTATAGGTCCCAGCTACTAATTAAAAAAATAAAATAATAAAGTTATTATATTATTTTATTTTATATAATAATTATGTTATTTTATATTATTAAAATATAATTTTTTTTCCATCGATAAAATAACGATTTACTCTTAACAACTTCGACAGCTGCACTAGCAGTCAATCAAAGTCTGTAACTTTGTAACATCGTAAATTTGATTAAGCGTTATTAAGATACCCATAAGTAGGGGGCTAGGGGCATGTAAGTTCGTATATACAGTATATGACAGTATCTTAAGTCTTAATACCTATTACGTTTATGTTTATCATATTATCGTGTATCAGTTATAACTTATAACCATAGACCTTATTCAAAACAGAGTATAAGGCATGAAGACTAATATAAGCAGACCATTGATTAAATATACATTATAATATAAATATTTACATATAAATTCATAATTTATACGGTCTCCTCTAAACAGCTAGGTATGATTTATTAACATTAAACGTAATTTATCGTATTACGATTTACGGTACAGGAAATGTGGCAAACTAGTATTAATACTACAGAAACCAAGTTCATGGACAGGATATGTTAGGCTGTTAGCGCCATTTAGCGTTTCCTCCCATGTCCTGAGTCCAACGACCACTATACATAGGAAAGGTGATTGTGTGACTCTACCGTGTGACGTCATCGGACCGAATGCTTTATATATATACGACCAGTCGACTACAATATCCTCGGAGGTCCGTCGTGTGACTGATTTCCATCACGATACCATAATGTCGGTTGGAATTCCGGGGTAATTACCGATACTTTAGAATCCCGCGGTAGACGAATGCTTCAGTGCAGTTGTGACCTCCAAAAAAAATTTTTGCAATATTTTATGTTCAAAAATTCTCTAAAAACCAACATTTTTTTTTAGGATGATATTATATATAAGAGCAATTTTAGTGTAACTTCAATTATTAATTATTATAACTTGTTAATGTTAGTAAAGCACTTAAATTACATATTCAATTCTATTTACTTATTTACCTGGATACCTATTTAAATTTTTGTTAAATATAATCCCACCAAAAACATATATGTAAAATGAGAGCCAAGTTCAATACTATAATATATGCCTTGGTTGTTAACTTCAACGACAAAAGAAGTGAGATCTAAATGGGTGCCAAGTTAGGATAATATATTGAAGTCTAAGGTGTGACTTGGCTACTTTTCATATACGAATTATTATTATAAGTACCTACTAAAACAGTAATGGAAGAGTGAAGATGATTTTCCGAAGAATAAAATAAGAACTCAAAGCTTTAGAACTTGCAAATGCTATAATATATAATTCGTAGCCAAGTCAGACCTTAGGCTTCAATATATTATCCTAACTTGGCACCCATTTAGATCTCACTTCTTTTGTCGTTGAAGTTAACAACCAAGGCATATATTATAGTATTGAACTTGGCTCTCATTTTACATATATGTTTTTGGTGGGATATCATTACTTTTTGTATGTAAATTATTATAACCTAACCTAACCTAGCCATGACGTATTCTATAAATAAAGTTTATTACTATATAATATAATTCAGTTACTAATATTAATAATAATATTTATTATAAAATATTTTCCGTTTTATATACAGAGTATAAAATATATGTAAAATTAATATACAATTATTTTAACTCTTTTTGAGTATATTTTTAATTATCATAATTTTATTGACTGTAGTTTCTACTGTTGGGTGGATAATTCATAATTTGTAAGAATAATTATTTAATTATTTTAATTGTAATATTTAAAAAAAATAATATTAATTACATACATAGATAGAAAAAAAAGTATGTTGCTGCGCACGGGTCGACAATATCGACACATATTCGGCTAGTCGTATTTTTGGAGCGGCGATACGGGAAAGGTTATTTAAGTCAACATTACATTACATTACATTAAATTAGAGGCAATTCATCAATAAATTGAAAAATTAAACATAATAGATAAAATAATTGCAAAATTATAATAAAATCAATTGATTAAAAAATTAAAAATTAAAAAACTAAAAATTAAAAATTAAAAAATTTTCAAGTTTCTGATTTTTTCCTTTGTATTTACCTAACTACCTATCTGTATGCCAAATTTGAACTTTCTAGGTCATCTGGAACTGGGTTAGAATTTTGATCTATAGGTAAGTCAGTGATAAAAATGACGATTTTCGGACGTTAATATCTAAATAACGGTTTGAAGTGTGTTTATGAAATTTAGAGCACATATGTATCTCGTTAGTCTCAATATATGAGCCAAATTTGACATGTTTATGTGGAATAGTTTTTGAGTTATGAGGGGGTCAAAAGTGGCTCCAAATGGTTCGTGTAATATTACACACGGTGCTGCTCGCCAGTTCTGTTAGCTAGAACTTGGCTTGACACGCTACCGCGTGTCTAGATAAAAAATACCACAAATAGGTATTACTAACATAACTATTAATTTAAATTGGAATTATTAATAGAATTCAATGTAACTTAAGTGTTTTACTAACATTAACAAGGTATACATTTTTTTATTTACTTTATTTAGAAAAAATGATCATTGACACAATTTTTAAAAATACCTAGTAGATATTCTAAATTAATATATCATCATATCATATTTTTATGGGTGCTGATCGACTGTGCTTTTTCCTGACAATAAATATAAAACAAAAATAATCATTTGGTGAAATACAAAAATATCTTTTTATGTTAGTTTTTCGATATATTATATAATCCATAAAACAAAGTACAAATGTAATAAATTAATAATTGTGATATTATGTTTTTATTAAATTTAACAAAACTTAGTAGTAACCCAGAGTAGGTTCCCAGATAAATAAACTAATAGAATTGATTGTCTAATTTAAGAGTTTTTAGGGGTTAAAGTGGGAAATAATTTCAGAGGGGACTAATGTCTTCATATAGTTTTAAGCTATCCATAATATATAATTTTAAGTATAAAATTCTAATTCGATAAGAGGGACGCTTTTTAACCGCCGTCAGAGGTAGGGGGACTGAGTCCTCTTGCGTCCCCCCCACTTTAACCACTGATTTGTTTTACAAATTTCAATGTAAACTACAAAAAATGACAAATCAGATGTTATATTATATTAGTTATAGTGAGAGCGGAGAATTGATAATAATGTATCTATTCGGATTGACCCGCGCGTCGATTTTTACGTATTTTTTCGTATTAGTAATTGTTTTCATATATTAATTACTATTAAATATTGTTATATTATTCAGTTAGCCTTTGTATATTAGTGTATAGGTAGTTATCATATATAATATAATATTAACTACAATGGGAAAGTGCTGCATTGTTAATAGTAACTCGGGCTACAAGAGCAATAAAAAAACAATTTTTTTAATTTTCTGCTCCAAAAGATTTAAATTTACGGAAAAAATAAGTAAAGGCTCTTCCAATACAGGATTACGTCATCAATGAGTGTGAAAAACATTTCAACAAAGATGATATTATTCGATTTTGTCAATCTAGTATTGAATCTACATTACTTGTTAAGGTAAGTAATTTTGTACTAACAATTAATAATATCTACGTTTTCTTAAAAGATAAAAATTTGAATTCAAAATGCTCAATATAATATTATTCAGTACCGTTAACCCGAGCGACTTGAAACTGGGAGGTGACTTGGAACCACGGACTAAGATATACCTTAGGGCTTAGATATAGGTACCTATGGGCTAAGATATATTATCTTAGTTCGTGCTTGGAACCATTGTGTTATTTTTTGATAACAGCGTTTAATTTTATGCTAGATAAGGGAAATAAAATTCTGCTTCCACAACAATATATTTTGGAACGTTTTGTACTTAGATCATATACAATGGATGGAGCTATGTGTGTATTTTTCGTATACCGAGCTGTGTGCCTGTGTCCAACATAACCCCCCATTACCCCATTTAATTTCAAGGTACAACGAGTTATTGCGCATGCGTTGCGCCTATGCTGCTTTACATTCCATCCCCACCACCCATTTGATTTCAAGGTACAACGAGTTATTACGCATGCGTTTCGCCAACAATCACTATAAATTAACTAATAAGTGGGGGGTTATGTTGGACACAGGCACACAGCAAATGATTAAAGTAGCTCCATTCATTGTATACACAGATATCTATATTATAGATAGTATAATATAGATATCTGTGATTGTATATGATCTAAGGTTTTGTAAAAGTCACGGACTAAGATATATCTTAGTCCGTGGTAAAAGTTTTGTTATCATTAAAAATGTGTTATATCTTATCAATAAGCCATGTAATACAACCATAATTTAATAAGAATAATCCAAATTATCAACCCCTAAATTAAGAGCTTCGAAAGTGTTACTTCAGCTTCAAAAATCAAATTATTGTTATTTTTTAGGGAATTCATAATGTGTGGTAAGTGTTAATCGTTAAGTAGAATTAGGAAATAATATTATTTAAATTTTTTAGGGTTGTTTTTATTTTCCGTAAAAAATAAGTGGGTTACTTGGAAAATGGGTACCTAGGTTCCTATATTACTTTTTACCTACATTATTCGAAATTATTTTTTTTTTTTTGTATACAAAGTTTAGTTAAATTTATTTTAGGAGCAAAGACTGCAACTTACAAAAAAAAGTATTATTTTGTAATAAATATGTACCTAGTTGTAAAAATAATGTTAATTAATTTTTAAATTAAAAAAAATATGGTTTTTAACAATTTTCTTTTTTAAAAATAATTGTAGCGTTTAAAGTAACCTTCCACAAATGATTAAATGCAATCTGAATTTGAAAAAACGCATGTTCCAAGTTACCCAAAAATCCGGGTGACTTGGAATAAGCACTTTTAATTTATTTTTTACATTAATTTACTTAAGACCTTTATTTTTTTTTTTTGCTCAATCTATTCCTTGGAGGAGTGCGACACTGCATGATTTTTTACAGAATTTATTTATCAATAATGAATGTGTTACAGTAGTTAAAAGGTGAAAATCGTTCCAAGTCAACCGGGTTGACGGTAATAATAATAATTTTTTTTTAATAAAATTTAGTTCGATAATAACTTTACTGTATTAGAAAGATTATAGTTAAATATAAAATAGTTCAATTTACCTATCATAAATATATAAGTAGTTTGTTACTTAATTTGTTTTTAGATTCCATACAAGAAACCTAAGCTTAGAGAAAATGCCATTCCCTCAATTTTTCCTGGACCTGCAGCATAGCTGTCTGAGCGAATTACAAAAAGAAAACCACCAACTGAACTAAAGAGTACATTAAATAATAAAAAAAGAATTAAAATGCATGACGGTGAAGACACTGATATATTTGATGATTTTCTTACCTACAAAAACTGAAAGTTTATATGACAAAATAAATATTTTGACTACTGATGGTACTTTGCTGCAGACTTATTTCTCAAATACTACTTTAAAGACTGGGAATACAATTCCCAATTTCAATTTTTCAGCTTTCTCCATAGGAGATCATTTTTCTGTTATTGAAAAATCAATAAGTGTTGCAGAAACTGGTGATGTCACTTTTGGAATTCTTGGTAAGAAGATTGATTCACAACAGCATAATATTACTCCAGCCAAAACTATAGATGATTTTGTAAATAACCTCAAGAAATTTGAAGATATAAATGTATGTCATGGAGGACCATCAGTGAACAATTTTTCTAAAGCTCCTACTTCATTATGTGTAGTTAATACTCTCGGATGACCTCAACATATGAACTGCAATATCATTTGAAACAAAAATAATACAATTTGTATAAGATGTAAAAAACAGTACTATAGTCAAGATAAATTACTTTTATCCTCTTTTAAACAACTGAAAATTAATAAAATCAGAAATCAAAATAAAGGACTAAAAAGACAAATGGTACTCTCTAAAGAAAAAATATCAAAACTTAGGTCAGAATTAGACAAAGTTAAAGGTAGAATGGCTACATATTGTGATCAAAATATTGAAGAAAAATTATGCAATGTAAAAGGAATTAATGATTCTCAAAAAACATAAATAATAGAGTGCTTTAAAGCCAGTAAAATTGTAAATCCAAGAAATAGAAGGTACAGCGAAAACTGATTAATGCTTTGCTTCTTATTTAATATTCGTTCACCTGGAGCCTACAAATATTTACGTGGCAGTTAAAAAAGTACAACACATGTCTTCTAGAGAAAAGCATTATGTTTTGTTGTTTGATGAAATCAGTCTCCGGAAAATTTACAAGTAAATTCATCAAATTTGTCTTACATTTAACTTGAAGATTAAGGCGACAATTCAACTTGCCATAAAGAGTTTGGAGACCATGCTTTGGTCCTCATGTTATGTTCAAATTTAAATCAAACTATAGGAGTTTTTCTACCTAAAGGAGATGTTAAAGGTAAGACATTATCATAATAGCTGTATACCTATATCTATGAATAAAATCGTTAATAATAATTATTTTAAATATATTAGGTACTGTGTTAGCTTAACTAGTATTAAAAGCCATAACTTTACTAGAGAGCACCGGTTTACTAGTCGAAGGCATTGTCTGTGATGGAGCGACAACAAATAAAAAATGTTGGTAGAACTTGGAATTAATGGTACCCAGACAACCTCAGAAATTATTTTGTTCACCTTCTCGATTCCAGTAAAAAGATTTTTGATTTTCTGATTTCGTACACATTTTAAAGCATGTACGAAACCGTCTTTATAATAGCAAAACCGTGTGTGTAAGTATTAAATTAGTTGATGTACTTTTTTTAAAATTCTCAGATTAATAATTGTTTTGTAAATTTTCTTACTTTTATAGTTACATCCTATATCGAGAATGTATCTTGGAATTATAATAAAGAGGTGTTTAAAAAATACATTGTACATCCTGAAAATTTAAGGATGTTTCCTAGATTACAGCACAACATCTCGATCTGACTTCAATGTCTAAAATGAGTTTGACTTTGTACGCAGGTTTTTTAAAATTTGTTTTTCTATATTGACCGTTGATTGTTGAATCTGCATACAGCTTTTAGATGTCTCATTCTACCTATGCTACCTGTGCCACCAATGCTACCTCTGGATTGCTTCTTAATTGAATAATTATACTACAAATGAATTCTCTTAATAATTATTTTTAGGTTTATTAGATATTTAATAGTACTTTTGTTCTTGATCAGGTTCTTAGTTCCAGTATGGCATGTGCTTTACGTTTCTAAGTGAATAAAGGTTGTAAAATATTGAAAGGAGCAACACAAACTGCCAATCTTACCTAATACTGGAACAATTTATTTGATAATTTCAATAGGAATTTGCCATGAAAAGGATTAAAACTAGGCGATGATGGATTTGAGGTAATTATTATTAATAATAAAATCAAAATATTAATTTGAATTAATTTTTTTTATTTGGACTATTTTATGGACATTTAAAGATGAGATTAAATATGTCGATTGTTGGGAAAAAGAAATGCATATGGATAACATTGAGCCTAATTAGTTTTTGTCATAACAGACAGCACAATCAATATGTGTTACTTTATATTCCACAATAGAACTTTCAATGTACTTGTTAGAAAAATGTAATTTTGACTAATTTTGACTGTTAAAATTTGTCAGGACCATTTAGGAGTAAACATTAGTAAATGTATATTAAATATAAATGTAAAATAACTGAATTGCTGTGTTAATATTTGTTTAGAAATTCTTTCGTATTAAGAGACAAGCAGCTGGACCCAACTACCATCCTACAGCTCCAACATTTTTGCATCTGTTCAAGATACTTTCAGTATATTTGGTTTTAAGACCACCCAAACAAGGGAAATGTACTATCAGTGATGCGCCAAAAATATCTTTGGCAGATCTTCAATTAATTTTTCATAACAAAACCTCTGAAAGATTTGAAAAAAATTGTAAAACTGAAAGAAAAATTGGACAGTTTGATAGCTAATAATGAGTGGGAAGCTTGTGAAATATTGCCAGATGTGTATTCAGAAAGCGATTCAAGTATTAGAGACTGCATAGTCTACTATGTGTGTGGGTATGTTACTAGAAAAATATTGAAACATAAAAAATGCCCAACATATATAGAATTATTAAACAGTGGTGACATTGCACATAAATCAGGTGAATTAGTCGTAACTAAATCTAATGGACAATTAATTCACCCTAATAAATTTTTGAGTTCAGTAGAACATTCTTTTTCTAAACATTGTGAAGCCTTAGATGTTTTTGAAATATTAATTAGTGATGTGACTATTAACATTAGTACACCTGCATTGTACATATAGTTGATGTCACTGCGGAAATTATAGTCTTTTAGATTCAGATGTGGATGTGACAATTTTCTTACCAAGAAACTCTTAAACTTCAAAATATTTCAAGAGAAAAAAAAGTATCAAAATTGTATCACACTTAATAATATGTAATATGTTATACTAAGCGACTAAGGAAATTCTAGTATAACTTTTAACTTTCTCTTAATGTTTGCATCTATTTGTATTATGTTATTATATTTGACTATCGTCTTCTGTTATACGACAGTAATATTATTATTATATTACACTATTAAAAATATTTAACTTTTATGAGTTATAGTAACAATTATGTATTATTATTCATTATTGCCTTGTCTGTTTCAGGTTAAAAGAATCCGCATTAAAAATAAACTCCGGTCTTTAATTTTAGTTAATTTTAAAAGCTAAGTCATTTCATTATTAAGTTAACATTAAAAATTAGCTATTTAGTATTTTAATCAGTAAGCAAAAAGTTTCTCTATGAACATGGTGAATTCCTGATTTTTATACTTATTAATTAAGAGGATGTCAGCACACTGTTTGTTTTCTCATTATGGCTCATGCTCATCATAGACAAAACACATTATCAAACACAGAATCGTTTTTTTTTTTTCGAGTAATTTTTAAGTAAAATAACCTATTACATAAATGATAGAAAATAATATATTTGAGTATATTATATATTGATTTGTCCAAATATTTTCTAAAATATTTTAAACATCTTTTATTCGATAGTCAAATACAAAGTCAAATAATAATAAAATATTAAACTGTTATTATGTCATACCTTCAAAAATATTATTCCCTATAATATTTGTATAGGTAATGTTGCTCGTGGGTCTGAAAGAAAACAATTATTGTGCTGACATCCTCTTAATATATTACAGAAATACGTAAAGACGACAACTACACTTACATGTTGTATCTATATAATTGAGAGATATCGAAGGAGAAGAAAATGTATTATGTTTATAATAAGTGTATAAATAATAGGAAAATTAAATTTTAAATACATATTTTAGAAACAGTGTGATGAAATTTTAATATTAGGTATAGTTTAATTTAGTATTTTGTTTCTGGGAACTAATTATTATCATTGATTTGATGATGAATTAAATTAATAAAATAAAGGTTCAGAAATGTTCTAATTGAGTAATTTAATGTATTTTGTTTGTATTTTGATCCTCAACCCTTATTTAGCCACTATAGAAAACAAATTGAAATCAATTAATAATAAAATTAATACTATAATATTGTAATTCGTAATGTTCATTATACCTCAGTACCACTGTTAAAAATAACTGCATAAAACAAAATGTCTATTGGGCGATTATCCCAGTAGCTCTCCCACAATTGTATTGCCAATAACCTTGTTTATAAAATTAATATTTAAATTTAAAATTTTTTTTTTTTTGTGTTAAGTACGACAGTTTTAGTATTCAGCTATAGGTAGCTATAGGTAGCTATAGGTAACTCTATGCATTATATATTATTAATTTTTATACAGATATACTACAATAGTATTCATTTTGTAATATTTTTAATAAATATAAATGAAGTTGGTATACAACTATAAATATTATAATAATTATGAAATTTGATTTAAATTTTTTTATTTATTTGTATTTGTAATACTTTTAATTAATATACCTACATATTTTGTAATATTTTTAATAAATATAAATTAAGTATATTTTAATATTATAATTATAATGAAATATATTTAATTTTTTTTAATTAATATGTATTTGTAAAATTGTAATATTTTTAATTCATGCAAATGAATTTGGTATACAATAACATAATATAATATAATAATAATAATGAATTTATTTTAATTTTTTAATATTTAAATATACTTTTTAAATCTTAGATTTTAAAATGTAATACAAGATTCTTTAAAAGATTATCTACCTTTATCATAAAAAAAAGGTCTATAAGAAAGTCAAATTAAATTTTTATGAGCGTTTGAAATTCATATTTTTACAACATTTGATATTCACTGATTTTACATGTAATGATTTTCTTATTTTATTGTAATTGAAAAATGAATTACTATAGATACATGAAAATTTCACTATTAGCATTTTCTATACACCAAACAAATTTTGAAAATATTTTGATTCTTTTTGAACTGTTTACGGACATTATCAGTTTTCAATATTTTTAGTTTTTTTTTCTATAAATATCAATACAATTTTATTTGTTGAGTAAAAAAGCATGAAAATGTAATGCATGGCTCCTGATATATTGTTACAATAGCAGTTTAAAAATATTAAAAATACATACTCACAATTTTTTTTTTTTAAGCATTTAAAGTTCAACGTTTGACAATATTTATCACATTTAAAATTTAATAATAATTTTTTAGTTAAAAATTTATAAAATTTTTAACTTCTATAGGTGAGGATTGAAAATTTAAATCAAGATTCTTGACTTCGTGATATTATACTGATATGTAGGCTGATTGACCGTTTTCGCTCAAAAACGTTTTTTTTTATACAATCATATTATATCATTGAATTCAAATTTAACACTATCCATTACAAATTTCAGTTACCCACTAGTAACCTACTGTACAGCAAAGCGACTTTTTTTAATTAATTTGTATCTTTTGTAATATTTTTAATCAATATAAATGAAATTGGTGTATAATAATATATAAAAGTAACAAGTTAACAAGTGAAAATTGCATGTAGGTATCTACGGTCATTTGTCTTAAAGTTACACCAAAAACTAAAAACTAATCAATTTTGAATAAAAATCCCGTTTTTCCTGGCGCTTTTAAAACTACTAGTAATTTTAAATTTTAAATTTCACTTTCCCGTCCACAAAATACTTAAGTTGAAAATCAAAGCATTAATTCGACTACCTACTTATCGCGTACACATACACAAAGAAAAATAAAACACACTTCATTGTAAAATCAATTCATTCATCGCTCTGCTCAGAATCTAAATGTAAAGGTTTATGCAATAATAGGTAGGTATGTAACATCAATAATAATTGTATTATATTTATTATTTAATTGTTTATAAATTAACGTAACTTGGGTTTGTTTCAAAGTAACTCGTTATTTATTAAGTTTATATCAATAAAAATCAGTTAAGTTAAAATTTAAGTTAATGAATATCACATTTTAAAAAGTTAAGTTACAGGTGAAAATTAACTAACTTAACTTTAACTTTTTAACTCTTTTATGGCCTTTAAATGGCTCTTATTTTTTTGGTTCATCTAAGTATGTAATGAATTATAGGCAACAGGTTATAGGGGTTAAGCCATGTTTAAAAACAGTTCGGCCTCCATGTAATGAATCCACAAAGAAACAAAAAAAAAAGGTAAGTAATCGGTTACAACCTGTATTATATTACCTATATTTATAGTTAGGTTAGGTAACGCATATGGCATATTATAAAAAAAATAATATTTAAACGAATATTGCATTTAATATTTATGCATTATTAACTTGTTGAGTTTGTTTTTACTTTTTTGTATAAAATATTTTATGATAGGTAATTATTCGTACATTAGAGAAAAGAGACGAAAACCATCGCATTTAGGTAAACATTTGAACTTCACACTGACGAGGTTACAATAACCTGTATTCTTTGATATAAGTATTATATATGTGCTTATAATATATTCAAATAAAACCTATATTATATAAATATATAATAATTCAAAAAAAATTATGTTTTATTTTAAAATTTGAACACAAGGCGCATCTGCCTATAAGGCGGCAGCCACATAATTATCATTGTTTCTTCTTTTTGATTTTCGACACTTTTGAAGCTGGGCGCTTAGAGCCGCCAACGATTTTCTTTAGCAAGTACGCCAAACACTTGAAATTGAGATATGAAACCACTGCCATCAAGATAATTGCGGCGGCCATCACGTCCAACATGTAATATTGAAACCAGTAAAGTTGGTTGGCGACTGTGCGCAGGTGCGGCGCTCCACCGTGTCGGACGACGAACTCGATCCAAAATATGGCTTTATCCATGATAGAGGTCGGGTTGTCGCGCATTATTGATGAGGCCTTTGCGGCCGCCTCGCCGAATCTATATGTAATTTTAGGTATAATGGCGTTGATAATAATACAACAATAAAATACATTTTTGTACCTATGTGACTATAATATATACTATAGGCCGCACGCCCGGGCAAGTTAATGATGGTTTCTAATTGAGTTAAGTTAAGTTGATCGAAAACATTTTAATAATAGTTTAAAGTTAATAGTTGACCTAATTTTTTTTTTAACTCAGGTAAGTTAATAGTTATATGGAACCTCACAATTAAGTTAAGTTTTTTTTTTATTTTTTAATATATAAACAGCCAGTTACCTATATGGCTTAAAATAATAAAAAGTAAATGTCTATGCAATGGTATCTATGGTATTTATGCAATATAGGTATCATCAATAATAATTTTATTGTATTTATTATTTAATTATTTATAAATTAAAGTAATTTGGATGTGTATAAAAGTAACTCGTTATTTGTTAAATTTATATCAATAAAAATGTAAGTTAAAAAGTTAAAATTAACTTAAACTTTTAATTTAACTTTAGCTTTTTAACTCGTTTATGCTCAGGCTTGAGGTTTGTATAGGCGTACCTAAACGTATTCACGATTATTAAAATTTATAATAACTGTATTTTTACAATATTCATTCCAGTAGTGTAACCATGGGTCTATTTATCTCTGATCGCATCCCCTCTTGGTTTGCTAGGTAAATTATTAAATTTGATACTGAGTACTACCTATACTATATTCGAACATCATAATTATGTAAGTGAGTATCTAATAATATATTATATAGGTATATTTATATATATCAATTCCCTTACTGCCCCTTCACAAGTTTCAAGTTTTCTATGATTAATTAATTAATTAATCTTACAACAACGTTAAAAAACTAAAAAAGATTGAAGAGAAATCGTGACTGTAGGTAGGAGGTGGGTACATGTACATATATGGATATCCTAGTTCAACGAAATTTGAACTTCAAACACACATGAGCAATACTCATGTAATAATATTACAATGTTATTACAGTGACTCCCCAAGACACCTTAAAACTGTAATGTAAACCAGAGTATTTAATTCTATTTAACGAAATTGTCTGTTGCCAATGATTAATGAAACTTTGCATCATAGAAGTTTCACCTTACAAACACTTGAAACACTGCAAAGTATATACCTATAAGATATTCCAGGTTTCACTTTAGTCTTAAATGTTGTGCATTGTTTAGTTATTTATATTAGACTGTTTTTAAATAAATTAATATGTTATATAGGTTAGGTAGTATTAGTAGGTATTATTTTTATTATTATATGAATAGTAAATTGTGGTCACAAATTTAGATAGTTAAAAAGGTGTTTATTCTTCCTTCTTAGTTCTTCATTTGGTATTAATTTCAACTTAAAAACGACAAGAGATAAAAATAGCAAAATTTGAAATTTGATATTCTTGAAGTAGTCTTTTCATAATAATATAATAAGGCAATTTATTATAGAGTGCAGAATTGTAGGAATCTTAAAAAATGCCCAAATTCAACCATGTTTGTTGGGGAAATTAATGGCCCAAAACAATTTATGATGTACCTACTTTGATGACATTGAATATTGATTATATAAAAATTATAATAAAACTTTGAAATTGGTTTTGACATTTTTAATGGTTAGAATCTCCAAACTTTTGGCTATTTATTTAATAATACAATTTTTAAATAAAAACTATATTATATAGATATTATTATTATAGTGCGATAAACGTTGTATACAACTATACAAGTTAACCAAACAGCTGATCAGTTTAAGGCTTATGAAAAAATTAAAAAATTAAATAAATGTATTATTTTGTGGTTATTTGGTTGGCAACTACAAATATGACTAATTTTTTTATTTTTATTTTTACCCGTCTTTCATTATTATTGTTAGTTATAATTTATAACATTAAAATCAATTAATAAACATATTTGATACAAATTTTTCAAAATTAGATTTAATTTATTAATGTGTTTGATGAATATATATTATTAGTCTTCATAAAGTGTTTTAATAATTGATCTATATAGAATATCAATAATATAAACTGTAATTTTTGTAGGAATTTGATATATTTTGATATATTTTTGGTAAGATTCCTTCCCGAACGTTTAAAATAAAATTACCTATTAAACTGATAAAATTGATAATATCCTTAAATAATCCTTAAATAAAAAGTTTTATTTATTGACAGCGAGTTCAATAAATAAAATTTGTATTATTAATATTATAGTATTTATGGACCGTACCTATTTTAATAATTGTACTATTAATCGGAATCTTATCATAACTCATTAGAACGTGTTTCGGACCACTTCAGTCGCGGCCTAATATTTTACAACAGTAGGTATGCCCAAACTGGTTTTTCGATCTTTGAATCATAATTGGATATTAATATCCATGGCAACACTACCAGGTGGCCATAAGTTGGTCGTCATGGATACCAGAGGAAATAAATCAAGGACAAAAGCATACACTCTAATATAGTAGTGAAAATTAAAGTATAAAAATCTCAATAACAATGACGTAATATTTTATACCTATTTCATATAGGTATTAGGTATTAATTGTATAATATAAAATATAATGGTAAAATTCCTTCCAGGACGTTTAAAATAAAATGACCTATTAAACTGATAAAATTGATAATATCTTTTTTAATTAATTCAATAGTTTTATTTATTGACAGCGAGTTCAATAAATAAAATTTGTATTATTAATATTATAGTATTTATGGACCGTACCTATTTTAATAATTATACTATTAATCAGAATCTTATCATAACTCATTAGAACGTGTTTCGGACCACTTCAGCCGTGGTCTAATATTTTACCACAGTAGGTATGCCCAAACTGGTTTTTCGATCTTCAAATCATAATTGGATATTAATATCCATGGCAACACTACCAGGTGGCCAGTCCTGTAAAGAATACTTTTGAAAAGTACTTGAGTAAGTACTCAAATACATTTTTTTTAAGTATTTAAGATACTACATTACTACTCAAATACTTTAATTGTATAGTATTTCAAATACTACTCAAATACTTTGAAAAAGTATTTGGAATACTTTTCAAAAACTTTTGGTTTTTAAAGTGGGTTTCTAATTACTGTAATATAGACACATAGGTAGTAAATTTATAATCATTTTTATTCATTATTTATTAAATAAATGTTTATTACATTTTTTTTTTTTTTTTTACATGAAATTTACAATCTGTTCTTAACTAGAACAATAAGCAAATGTGCATAGGGTATTTGCGTATGTTTTTTTTTGAGGGAAGAAACCACCCATTGGTGATACTACCTATTTTGTGTTCTTAATTCATTCTAAAATTTCTAAAATTATTTCGAATAAAAATAAAATGTTCGAAATAAAAAACCAAAGTATTCAATACCAAAAAAGTATTTAATTCAAAAAAAAAGTATTTAAAATACCATTCAAAATACTTCATGCTGAAAGTATTTAAAAAGTTATTCAATACTTAAAAAAGTATTTGAATACTTTTACTCAAATACTTTACAGGACTGCAGGTGGCCATAAGTCGGTCGTCATGGATACCAGAGGAAATAAAACAAGGACAAAAGCATACACGCTAATAGTAATGAAAATTAAAGTATAAAAATTTCAATAACAACGACGTAATATTTTATAAATATTTCATATAGATATTAGGTATAATTGTATAATATAAAATATACGGAAACGACTTGATCTGTGTTTCTAACACAGTAACTACTGACCAGTGAAGTTAGCTGACGTAGGCTCGAGTCTATCTAGAGAGATTTACCTTATTATGTCTCATCTATATGATCCATACGTCCAATAACCGACTACTACATAGGCAATTATACGACGAAATGCGTATTTTAAATTTCAATTGATCACTTGATCCCGAAAAATTTGTAATTGTATTTAGGTAGGTACCAACATAATTAGTAGCAAGAATATACATCGTTGAGATTCAAAATTTTCTATCGCAACACACTGCAGATTATGCATTATGCACTCATGCCCATAATTCTTCATCAGCTATCTGCAAATGAGCAGATACCTATTACGGGGTAGGTATAGAGCCGTTGGTCCCAGGTGCGTCCCGTAATGGACGGTCTAATGGTTTATACCTGTTATAGGTTACCTTTAGTCAGTGGTGTATTAGAGGGTAACCAGTTTACTGATTTATAGTGTATAAACTATACAATTACTAAGCAAGTATTCAAAATGAATCAAAGACAAAAGTAAAATAAAATATTAATTAGTTTCAAAAAAAAATATTTTTATCTTCAACCAATTAGTTTGGTCATTTGGTGGAAAATTATGATTTGTTTAATGATAATTATCCATCATGTCAATATTAATAATTTTTCAATTACGATCACGGCTATGGAAACTATCAATATGTAATGGACTTATGGTTGAAGGACTGTCGCAAGGTTCCACTCTTAACCCATAAAGTCGATAAAAAGTACCTATATAGAAGATTTAATAGTAGGCAGAATGTTGTGTTATCACTTAGGTACATAATATGGCTTTATCAGTTTATTTTATGATGATATATTAGATATTAAATATTCTAAATAAAAAACATTTTTATTATATTATCAATTGTTTTATAATGATCATTATGATTTTAGCAAGTATTATAATATGTAGGGATCGATTTTTTGTTATCCCATACACTGCAAATAGAACGGAGTTATGTAACAAGAATTTACACTCATGATAGGCGGAGAAATACTTCATCATAAGCTAATTTTAGTTTAAGTACGAATTTTTTTTTAGACGATGGCTAAGCCCCCGAAGCCTCCCCTCCCCACATATACGGCAATGCGCTGAGAGTATACTCTAGAAAAAATACTGTACATGGTACATCATTGCCTTTAGGTACCTAATATAAATATTAGTAATAAACAAGCATCCTCACCCAGGGTCTCGCAAGAGCTGTTGGAGTTTTGATCCGAAAGTCTCCGCCGTCAGTTCGAAGTAGGACACGTACAAAGCGAATCCTCTACTCTCGGCTTCAATGGAATTGTGAGCCTGGTCACCAAATACAGGTATAGACAGCATTGGCACGCCGTGGTATACGGCCTCGATTAGGCTGAGTATGCCCCCGTGCGTGATGAACAGACGGCAGTTTGGGTGGCCTGGAAGAATGTGTCTTGGTATATTAATGTTTCAATATTATATCTATAATACGTATCGATGGGTGTAGCAAATTTTCACCAAAATAATAAGATATGTATAATTTGCACTATGTATATTGTAATATTATTAAATTTAGGTTTTGATATTTGGATAAAAATAAGATATTGAAAAAATCTCAGATACGGCCTTGTATAATACAGTATTACCTAACCATACAAATAAATAACAATCCTAAAGTGAACTAATTTTAATTTATGTTCTGAAGAGTCCCACCCAACCACATTATTTAATGCTACCTACTCGAGAACTATAGATTAATTGCATAGATTAATTTACACGCATACCCAATATGTCATTTTGTGGGAACCATTTCTTGACCATGACGTTTTTCGGCAGGTTGGGCAGCTGATCATCTTCCCATTTCCATAAAACCGTTTGCTTCAGCTTAGCCAGTTCTGACAAAATTAGTGACACTGTTTCTCGAGGCATTTTCGATGACTTGACCACCGAACCCAAACTGAAATAAATCACTCCGTGTTTAGCCGAGTCCAAAATGGTTTTTAGGTCCTGGAAAGTATAATTATGAAAAGTTTGCAAAATACCTGTAATTGAGTATGTAGGGCATAAGCTATAATATATTTAGCTATATTCATAAACATACCTAAGTAAATCTTAAGTAAATTGTTAGTAAAATCTGAAAGTTAGTAAATAGATATTAAATTAGTATTCATAAATATGAATTAACTGTTAAGTTAGAAAATTCTCAGGAAATAATTAGTAAAAGGTTAGCAAGCTCTTGTGTTCACTTAAGCCACCTTATCATTTGAATTTTGCATTCATTTTACAAAAATTTGATTGATATAAGAAAAGTCTATTTTTATGTTGAAGATTAATTTATAATTCATTTAAATTTACTTGAAAGCCAAATGGATGATTTTGTGGATTTTTATGACAATTATGGCTATATAAACGAACCAATTCAAATTAGAGTTAGGAAAGTATATAAAACAAATAAGTCAGACCCTTTGGACGTTTATTCGAACTAAGAGTTTTTTAGAAGATTTCGGTTCACTAAAGCAATTTTTTCAAATATTTTAATGCCCATGATATTTCCTAAAGATGACCAAAATGTTAACACAGATATGAGAGGATTACCCATAACTAATTCATGGAAACTTCTTACGGCATTAAGATTTTATGGGACAGAAAGCTACCAAGTAATTATATAAATACAATTTAAACATTTGAATTGAATTAACACAATTGCATTATTATTTAACTTAGTTGGAAAATAGTGATATGTTTGAGTTAAGAAAACCGTCAGTCAGTCGCATAGTTAATGATATGGAAATTTACGATGTAGTTGCCAGATGGCCCGGATCTGTGCACGATTCAAGAATCTTTCAGAATAGTAGAGCTCTAGAATTGATAGAAAACAGGTAAATTAATAAATTAATAAAATTATATATAATATGATAAATTGTAAATTATAATATTAAATTTGGAGGTTTTTATAATCAATTATTTTAAACTTAAAAATAACAATTTTAGAACTGTCCAAGGTGTAGCTGATGGTGGTTATGCACAGACAGATTAGTAGAATCAGATAAAAGTCAAATCACGGTGATAACACAATGATAACGAGAAAAATGTATTCAATATCCCTGATATGAAGTTATAATAAAGTATATACTAATAAGTTGTAGTTAAATGCAATCTATGAATATAGCTATATGTATTATTTTTTCAGTACTGCAGTCTAGCTATTGAGTAGGTACTGGCGTACTGCAGTCTATACCTACTGATACCTATGACATATTTATATTTTTACTATATCACAAAACATATATTTACAATTTATTTATTTTTGATTTTCTAATATTATTATCATTACGTCTGATTGAAATATTTTTTTTTTGTTTTAATACCTATACAATTCAAACCATGAAAATAGATATATTCAAATTATAGTAATCGTTTACACAGGACTAGAATTGTTTGGTTATGGTAAATTTAAATTTGACCAAAAAATAACTGGGCGAATTTTCAATATAGATTAAGGGGTCCCCATTGTTTATAATTTTGCGTGTATACAATAATAAGTGTCATGACTCATGTTATGAAATTTAATTAAAATCCATTAACACGTAGGTAATTTTTAATATCTCATGAGATAATAATATATAGTGTCCTCAGATTTTTATTATATCAAAATTTTATTTTTTATTTTCATTTAACATAGGTACATTAAATTTCATGACGAGAAATGACCGGAGTGTATAATAAATAAGATTTCAAATAGGACTATTCCTGTGTTCTTAGAAAAAGGTAATATATTAAGATATGAGTCACGTTTTTGTTTTCAAACCAGACCAGTTCCGTGACCCCATATCCCCACCAACCATCACAATACAACAAAAAAAATTAAGAAATCCCGTTGGTCACGTGGACCAAATTTCGACGGCACTCAATTATATATCTATTCAATTTTTCATCTAAAGAAAAGAAAATGTTGAAAATTTGTAAATCATAGACATAATACCTACCTATTTTGTATTTTTGAAAAAATAAAAAAGTTGCACTTTTCAAAATCCAAATACACTCAATATGTAATAGTGATGATGGTTTATATTCCACAACGAATTCGAAACAGAGGGATATTACATTTATGTATGTAGCTAATATTGTGTTCGTGTTTCATATTAAAAAAATCAAAACTAACAAAATAGACACTTCCTGCAGATATTAAACATTTTTAATTTTTTTAAAACCCAGAACACACTGGGAAAAAAATGTTTATAGGGAGTTAAAATATCTATAAAGAAATAACTATAACCATTATGGTATCAAACTTAGTCCAAGGACTTTAAAATTTTATTTAGAAATTGGCAAAATGTATAGGTTATTTCCAAATTTCATGTATGTAGTTATGTATGTTATATATAGGAGGAATTGAATATTGATGAAACCGCGAACGCAATATTAGTGCAGCACATGAAATTTATTTTTTAAACATTTGTACAGATTTACTGAAAAAGTCCGCCTGATGCCTGAAGCACCCCTGATATAGGTTTTAGGCACGTACCGTTGGCAGTGGTCCGGCTGGTTTCATATGCATACCGGCCACCTGCACGTAGCTCGGCACGTAAGGTGCAGCCGGCCCGATCATCGGGTGGCTGTTGACCAACGTAAGAGACACGTTCCGGAGCATCGTCTCGAGGTCGGGCCGGCCTTCGTGGCCTGCGTACGCAAAGTGCTCGTCCATGATGGCCCGCTGCAGGGGCATATAAAACAGCCGGTTAACCCAGGTGTTGAACAAGGTGGCCACGGCGTTCTGGGCGCGCTGAGCGAACGTCATCGGTGCCACATAATGGGCCGCGAAGTCGGCCATGTAAGCGGCCCCGTACGGGTTGCCGTGCCACTGTGACACCCTAGGGTTGGCGGCAAACGGCAGCAGCTGCACCACCGGCACTCCATATTTGTGGCCGAGCGTCACGAAACACTCGTGGAAGAAGTTCTCGACCACCACCACGTCAAACGCGGACTGGTCGCCGAGCACGAAGTCCCTTACCGACTTCTTGTCCACTGCGGTCTTGGTAATCATCGGGCCAAGCCACAGCGTGAACATGTACAGCGGAAGTCTGTTCATCAGCGAGTTTCTGTCGAGGAAGTTCACGGCTGCAACATAATATAACGACATAAAAGTCCACGGCGGTTATAATTTATACTATAACAGTCATTTTAATCATATTAAAAATAACAACATAATAGATTATTAATAACGTAGGTACCTGCAGTTTTAACGTAGGTATTAACAGATTATTCTTATTGAAGTGTATACATTTATGAATGTAAGTATAAAACAACCAAACCAAACTCTTAAAAATATTAGAAAATTAACTTTACTTAAATAGGTACTTAAGTTAAAAAATTAACATTTTAACTAGTTATAAGCACCTTTTTATTAAATGAACATCCGGTGATAATTATTAAAGTCTTTAAAATTATTCGTTTTTGAAAAACAACAAACTAGGAAAACCGATTTTCTAAAAAGTGGATTTGCGTTAAAATTCTTGTTTTACAAAATTATTAAGAGAAGTACTGGGAATATTCAATTTTTGACCCTCCAAAGTACTAATCCACATTCATAAGATAAAATGGCATTGAAGTTTTTTTTCTGTTTCAGCTAGTAGGTTCTAACTTCTTAATAAGGATAGGAAGTTAATAACTTTTGAGCAATACTAACTAAGCTACAATAGTTTGTTTCATGCTTCTTTAGTTTAGAAAATAATATACAATATATTTTTGGTTATATCATCTCAATTCGTAGCTTTTATCCTATAGGTACCTATAGTTATGTAATATTCATTATTAATACATATTATTGCATGATTATTGGAGTATTGCTGTATAAAAATTAATAATATATCATGCATAGAGTTACCTATAGCTGAAAACTAACAGTGCCGTATTTAACACAAAAAAACAAAAAAATTTAAAATTTAAATATTAATTTTATAAACAAGGTTATTGGCAATACAATTGTGGGAGAGCTACTGGGACAATCGCCCACTAGAAAAGTTGTTTTATGCAGTTATTTATAACGGTGGTACTGAGGTATAATGAACATTACAAATTACAATATTATAGTATTTATTTTATTATTAATTAATTTTGATTTGTTTTCTATAGTGGCTAAATCAGGATTGAGGATCAAAATACAAACGAAATACATTAAATTACTCAATTAGAACATTCCTGTACCTTTATTTTATTAATTTAATTCATCAACAAATCAATAATAATAATTAGTTCCCAGAAACAAAATGCATAAATTAAACTATACCTAATATTAAAATTCCATCACGCTGTTTCTGAAATATGTATTTAAAATTTAATTTTCCTATTATTTATACACTTATTTTAAACTTAATACATTTTCTTCTCCTTCGATATCTGTCAACTATATATAGACAACATGTAAGTGTAGTTTAAAAATTTAAATAGATACCCAGGTAAATAAGTTAATATAATTGAATGTGTAATTTAAGTGTTTTACAAACATTAGCAAGTTATAATAATTGAAGTTACACTAAAATTCCTCTTATTATATAATATCATCCTAAAAAAAAATGTTGGTTTTTGGAGAAATTTTGAACAGAAAATATTGCAAAAAATTTTTTTGGAGGTCACAACTGCACTGAAGCATTCGTGGACCCGATTGCACGGCGGGATTGTAAAGTATCGGTAATTACCCCGGAATTCCAAACGACATATGGAGTCGGTATGGAAATCAGTCACACGACGGACCTCCGAAGATATTGTACTCGACTGGTCGTATATATATATATATATATAAAGCATTCGGTCCGATGACGTCAAACGGTAGAGTCACACAATCACCTTTCCTATGTATAGTGGTCTTTGGACTAAATACATGGGAGAAAACCCTAGATGGATCATATCCTGTTCGTGAACTGGCTGCGTAGTATTATTACTAGTTTGACACATTTCCTGTACCGTAAATCGTAATACGATAAATTACGTATAATGTCAATAAATCATAGTTCGAACTATAATAGCTATAGATGATTGTTCTAAAATAAAAAAAAATAAAAAGGTGGGTAAGTGGATGTCGCTCTGCTGTACAGTAGGTTACAAGTGGGTCACTGTATAATGGATGCTTTTAAATTTGAATTCAATGATACAATATCATTGTATAAGAAAAACGATTCTGAGCGAAGACGGTATGTCAGTCTAGGTTTAAGACAAATTATATACATATCTATGGTATTAAAAAAAAAATTGACTTATAATAAATTCCAAATTAATCATATCACAATATCGGGATTGGTAAATTGAGTCCCAAATGACCCTAACTCGGTAAATTGAGTCCCGGGGAAAAACAGGTAGTAGGTAAGTTGAGTCCCGGAAAAAATAAGGTAGTAGGTAAGTTGAGTCCCGGGGAAACGATTTTTAAATAATAATTATTAATTATATAATAATATTTTTCCCCAACGATACACTCTTAACAACACCAAAGGATTCACATTCAATAAAAGTCCATAACTTTGTAACATCGTACCTTTGGTTAAACACAATTAAGATAGGTATCGATAAGTAAGGACTTGTTCGTACGTATATACTATAATATATAGTGTGATAGTAAGATACCGTCATTTTACTATCTCACCGATTTCCCCCGAATATTTGGTCCGGATTTGCTGCTACAACCGTGCGTACAACCAATAGTTGTGAATCGTATCATTCAAGATTAAACCGATGCGTTTACAGTCCACATCCGAATATTTTTAACTTTATTGATGAATTACTTGAAGTTCAGTCAGAGACACAAATAAAATTAATAAGTAAAAATTAAAAAAAGAAAAGCATGATCGATAACGAACAAAACCTAAGGGAGCAAATGACCAAATACACCGGTAATGTTATAACCCGATTTGAGTTTATTAAATCAATATCAATGAAGTTTTTACCAAGTACATAATATATATATAATAATAATGATTATTTTAAACAACAATAATTTTTTTAAATTAATTTATATAAATCTAAATATTATATATCTTTATATAAATAATATTTACTTACTACCTTTTTTTTCCCGAGACTCAACTTACCTCCTACCTGTTTTTTCCCGGGACTCAATTTACCGCTTTCAAAATGTACCAAACTTATCTCGGACTCAATTTACCTAGCCCCCACAATATCCATTAGGTACTTATAACATGTTATACATCAACATCAATAACAAACCCTGATACTATCATAGATATATAATAGTACACTTTAGCTAGAAGTTTCAAGTAGGTACCCACGAATAAAATTATATAATCACAACAAAATAACTAGGTTTTTTAATATGTAATTTCGTCCAAATTTGAACATAAAATGACTATAAAAATAAACTGTGATTGTATATTTTTTAGATTTTTCGGTAAGAGAATTAATTACTAACGTGGAATCTTGTTTTTCATTTTCAATCCTTAGCTATAAAAACTGAACATTTTATAATTTATTAGTTACGATGATTAATCATTTTCGAGATTTTGAAAAATTCTTTCAAAATTCGACGTTTAAATGCTTATAAAAAAAAATTGTGCCTATGTATTTTTAATATTTTTCAACTGATATTGTAACAATATATCAGGAGCCTTGTATTAAATTTTTACACTTTTGGCCCAACAGATAAAACTTTATTGATATTCATAGAACAAAAAAACTAAAAAAATTGAAAACTGAAAATGTCCGTAAACAGCTCAAAAAGAGTCAAAATATTTTCAAAATTGTATGGTGTATAGGAAATGCTAATATAAACATTCAGTGAAATTTTCATGTATCTATAGTTATTCGTTTATGAATAACAACAAAATAAGGAAATCGCTACATGAGAAATCGAGTGAACATCCAATGATGTAAAAATTTGAATTTCAAACGCTCATAAAAATTTAATTTGACTGTCCGGTAGAGATTTTTTTATTGATAAAGGTAGACAAACTTATGAGTAATCTTGTATTACATTTTCAAATCTTAGATTTAAAAAGAAAAATTTTTACGAATTCTTAACTCAAAATAATTTGCTAATTTTCGTGATTTTTCCATATTTTGTCAATTTTTGAACTTTAAATGCTTATAAAAAAAAATTGTGACTAAGGATTTTTAATATTTTTCATCTGCCTTTGAAACAATATATTAGGAGCCTTCTATTAAATTTTCAAGTTTTCGCAACCAACAAATAAAATTTTATTGATATTTCTAGAAAAAATACTAAAAATAAATGAAAAATGAAAATGTCCCTAAACTGTTCAAAATAAATCAAAATATTTTGAAAATGTTATCGTGTATAGAAAATGCAAATATAAACAACCAGTGAAAATTTCATGTATCTACGGTCATTTGTTTTAAAGTTACACCAAAAACCAAATTCAATTTTCTGAAAAATCGATTTTCCCGTTTTTCCTTAATTTTTCTTTTGTTTTTTTTGGCGCTTTTAAAAAGTACTGGGAATTTTAAATTTTGACCTCCCCAATGCACCAACGATATTCACTTTCCAATCGAACAAGATACTGAAGTCGAAAATCGAAGCATTATTTCGACTACTTATCGTGTACACAGACACAAATAAAAATAAAAAAAAAAACACACATCATTGTAAAATCAATACATTCATCGTTTCACTCAGAATCTAAAAAATACGTATAAATTACGTATAATGTTAATAACTCATAGGTGTTTAGAGGAGACAATATAAATTACGGGGAATGGTAAGCAAGCTAAACGTAGGTAATCTCCTACATAGACATAGTGTTAACTCCTACAAAAGATAGTATTGACAAAGATTAAACATACATATGAACCTGTGTTTAATCTATTGACTACTATAAAATATAGTATTAACTCGGAATAACTCTTACAAACGATAATAAAATAATAGTTTATACAAAAAATTCATTTTTAAAACTTTGAACAAATGGATAACAAAAATCAATTCAGCTCCTTACATAAATAAAAACTTAAATAATTATAGTATTAAAATAAATTATAAACCAAGTGTTTGTAATTTATCAATAAAAATATATTTTTATATTTATTATATTTTTCAAGTTATCATTTTTAGCTTTTTGAGCTTTTGAATTCAATACAATGCTAGAGTAAAGGAT